AACCCCAGTACCCCACGATCGAGATATCAGATGATTCAGGTGGCGAATTTGCAGAGGAGAATTTTGCATACACATTACCCGTATACATATTACATAAACACAATATTTGTGCTCGGAAAAGTGTGCGTGTACATGTGCGTTTGCAATTAATCTAATTATATACGTGTCTGTATTCTTAAGCACGCGTTACGTAAAAAAAAAAGGAAAAAAAAAAAATGCGTTTTTATGTGTATTCGAATGTGCGGTGCGTCGTGGAAACCAAGCGGCGATCATTTAAAGTATCATAGAAATATTTAGCGAGAAGAAATGAGCGAGCGTTACCGCACGCACCACGCGTGGTAGCGCTTCGACCCAGAAACGCCGCTGCGCGTTACGCCCCTGAGTCCGTTGGCATTTCACGTTCTGCGTATGATCGACATCGATTTTCTGCACGAGGTCGCGTGCGACCGAGAGATTTAATTAAAGCGTGGCGATAATAAGCAGCGGGTTTCTGGCTGTAGGTGCGTTCGCAGCTCGAAATTCAGTGGTTCATGACAAAACAGAAATTGTTACCATCGACGCTTGCTGAGATCCAATATACGTATGCGTTTGTACTTTGATATTACGAGGTATTCGTAATAGTAATAGCAAGGGCAGTTAAAATAACTCCGTTGGACAGGTATGAAAGATTCTCTGTTACGCTCCGCGAAGAGAACGTGAATCAGATATTTTTATTATGAGCTCATCGGTGTTCGAGTTTCAAGAATTACGCAGGTATTAATTGTCCGAACGTAGTTTATGTATTGAACGGTCCGAAACCTTTAGCCTTTCTTTCGTACCGTATAAAAGCAATACTAATGTCTGTTTCATGACGAATGTTAGACGTTAATCGGTTTTTGAGTACCGAGGCTTTTCGAAAGAGGGTCATGGGGTTACAGTTTACTGTTCTCTTAATCCATGCCCAGGTCTAACTAAATCGCTAAATTGTGTAAACGCTGCCCCTTCAAATAGGTGCCATTAGGTATCCACTTATATCGTATCATACTTGCCTCAAGGGATTTCAGGCGAGCTTTGTAAAATATATGTAAAAAGTATGGCACGTAGTGTTAAGTATCACGAATGGAAAAGATTAATGCAGTGATGAGGCACGAAATCCCCCACGAGCGAATCTCTTCCCTCTGTTCTGGCTCCCCACTACTGTTCCCCTCTTGCGCTTTCGTTATGCGATGTCTCACTCCCACCATGTGGTAGGCTATCCCCACTACGTGGCAGGTTATCCCCACGTCGTAAGTGATTTCGTGCCCCATCATTGGTTTGTCATGCTGTCGATTTTGTCATATCATCAAACTATTAATCGCCACAGTCATAAACACTTGACTTGTTGCAGCCAACAGGTTTTAGAGAATTAAGAATACGTTTAAACATGCATAAACTGGCATAATATATGCATGAGAGTGGACGTAATTCTTATATCAAAATCAAGCATTGACAACACGACATAGTTTGACTTTACCCATTCATGATCCTTACTTGCTACTGTGTGCACGTGCCACACTTCTTAGGCTGGAATTTATAGTCGTTTCTCAATTATCAATTTTCAATTCTTAAATCTCAACTTCTTGTTGTTTATGTATGTGTTTCGTCATACATAATTGATGGAAATCGAGTTTTATTTCATTTTTTATTAAGACTTTTGAAAATTTCATTGAAGTGAAGAAGCTCATGATGTAAAATGCGTCGCCTTCCATTCGTCGGCCATATTGGAAATACGATGACCTATTGTTCAGTGCAAACA